CATGCTTTCCATGCCATTCTTAATTACCACCCTCTCAGTCTTTCCTAGGTTGAGAGACCCCAGTCTATTTAGCCATTACTTGCATGGAAGCAATTTGGTACTTATGGTCGTTTTCATTGCCCATTTTTATGTCTTCTTGAGATCTCTACCGCATTAGAGATAAGCCCAGAATTATGCTTAGCTCAAGATGTAGCATTTATTGAATTAAACAGCATCAAAAAAGTGCTTTCTGTGTTGAGCATTAGTAACAAGTGTCATGTACTTAAAAAGAAAAAACAATATTAGTATTTACATAGAAGTTCAAATTGAATTTTTTTATTAGGTTTTTTTATGCTAAATGGTGAAATATATATGATAGAGCAAATAACAGCTGATCCAGGAATAGTGCTAATTTCCCACCTAAAAATATTAGAGTATAATTAATTAAATAATTTTAAATTTTGGTTAATTTTTTTTTAATCATCTATTAGAAAAGCATATTGCTTCTTGCTCCTTTTGTTCCTGTGGCTGGTCTGTCAAGACCAGTGAAATCCCATACATTTCAAACTACTGTTTCCAAGTATGTTCTAATCAGGTATTTCAGCCATTTTCATTTGGGATCTGGAATTAAATAGGGACTTAGTTTAAATGATAAATTATTTGGCCTGAGACTGAACCCATTTTCTGTGTTCATGAAATTAAAACCCACTGAGGGATTACCTGATCCACCACTGGTATTTCCAGATCCAGCTGAAATTCACCTGTTGTTTGTGTACCAGTGTAAAGCAGAGGTTTATCTGTAAAAAGTTCTTAATTCAGTCTAGCTGAAGAATGTTTACTTGCTTATATAATAAAAATGAAAGATTGTTTTCCCTGCCACATTCCATGAACTTGGCCCCATGTTCCATGGCCCCGGCCTCCATGGTCCTCTCTCTCTCAGTAATCAATCACACTGCCTCTCTTTCCACTGCTGCTAAAGCTGTTTTCATCCCTTTGTAGCTGTGACCCTTGAACAGGAGCTGGATGATTTTCTATATCCATTAGCTGTCTTTGGAGGGAGGTAGAGATTTATTTAATGGTGCAGGATTTCCAATGATTTAAATCTAAGTAACAACAAATGCTATAAAATCAGAAGTTTTCAGGACAGGATAAAAACTATAAACAGTATCCTCTTAAAAAAAAGCACTAATAAGTTATTATTTGTTCATAAGTAGAAAGAAAACAGGTTTTTTTTCTGCGAGAGGGAATGAGTCTTTAAAGCTTTTTATAATTTTATTACATGACTGATGGAATTTCTTACAAAATCCGTGGAGCAGGTCTCTGTTCATCTTCAGGTTTTCCTTCTTGTGATGATTTCAGGAGGAATACAGGATTTTTTATATGATATCAGATTGTGACACTGCACCCACTATATAAGACAATTTTAGCATTATTTTTAATATTTTTTAAAGTTCACATATGCCAAAATTTACACTCTGCAATGACTAAAGCTCTGTTCAGCTACTTGTTTAGAGTTGAACTTGAAAATTACTTTGGGTTGGATTTTATTTTTCTTTATTGGATGTATCTTTTCCAATAAACAGCAGTTTCATGTGTGTGGAATCAGGTCCGTATTAATGGGAAGTTAAGGTGGCAGCACCTGTGACCCTCAAAGTGCAGATGACAGTCACAAGGTGTTAGTACACCACATTTCTTTTAGCACAAGGAATCTGCTTTCTTTTGGCCAGTGTCTGGGAGGGAAGCTTTGAAATGGACCTTTCCACCTACTCTTGGTGTTTCTGGCCATTTTAATTTTTTAGCTTTAGATATCTGCATACATTTCTGCGTGATAAATGCACACATTAGAGATGTCTTTCCTATCCATTGGAAAAGGAAAGTCTCCATTCTACATTAGATCAGAGAAATTCATAAGGAAACAAGAATTTTTTTTATGAGGGATAAGAGTTTGGTTTTCAGCAGATGGTACTTCCTTTTAAGAAAGAAGCAGCATATTTTTATGCTACAGATTTTCTTCAGGATTCAGGAAAACAGCACTCTGGCAAGTATCCTTTAATGAACCCATCCTTCTCTGCAAAGTCTGGACTTCTGTGAGGAGCTGCTGTGGGTTTTAACTTGTGAGCTGTGCAGAAAGGAATTGAGCATTTTTATTTCCCTAAGCAGACTTCCCAGTTTACCCAAGTACGTGATGGTGGCATAAGGGGCAGGAACAGTGTCTTCCTGGCAGGCTTCTCTTTAAACACTGGCTGTACTCAGAGCTATGCTCTACTTTCCTCTGTAGTCCCATGATATTTCTCTATGCCAGAGTCCTGTCATCAAGGTCTCATCTAAGTCTGATCAAGTGTCATGTGAGAACTCAGCACATCATTTGTGATTCCTATGTTCATTAGGTAGCTGGACAGGTAACTTTGTGTCTTTCATGTAATTAGCACTGTGACCATTATCAAGAACAATAATAATGAAAGTTAAATACCCTTTTTTATGGCAGATGTTTGTAATTAATAAATTAATGATGAAATTAATTAAAGACTATAATAAAATCTGTAATCAAATGTCAGTAAAGTTCAGATCTAACAAGATTTAAATACAGAGAAGTAAGCTAGATTTCAAATCTCGTGTTTCAGGTACTGATTGTTCCTGGGCATAAGAGCACCCTTCAAAATAAGTCTTAACAGTAATAAACAGAAAAGGTGTTTTGGAAACTGTGGGCTAGACCCATGGTTTTTTCCTACCAGCTTGGAGAGGTCAGGGCTGAATTTGAATTGCTTGCCTGAACTGAAGTCCAAGTTACAAGGCTATCACTTCACTGCTGTTCTGTCTCCAATTACTCCACTAGTTTTAGGCAAAGGTAGGGGGAAGGAAGATGGTGCTTTTTTGCAGTATGTGCATAACCTTATATTGATGCTAAATCAGAAATAGCCAAGTCTCAAGAACACTCTCTCACCTTCATTTTCTGAGGCTAATGCCCTGTGCTGGTTGCTCAGGCAGATGCTGGTAGTTGCTAAGCTTTCTCTTCTTTTCACTGAGAGCTGCTCTTAATTTCCTGAAACAATTTTCCTGTGTTGGTTATGCTGACTAGAGGAACTATCTCCAAAGAATTGCTGCTATAAAATTTCTACTGCTATCTTTCTTTCTATAGTGATACGAGACTTTCATGCCTCTGTTAGTTCCACAGTTAATTAATCTAAGTCTTTCTAATATTAGTACAGTAAGCATAGAAAAGCAATAAATAGGGCAGATAAAGAATGAAATGGTTTAATCTCATTAACAGAATGCAGAATATTCAGGTACAAATATCACTCCTTTTCTAATCACTGGGAGTTGGATGAGCCTCATAGAGCCAAGAAAATATATCTAAGCTATAAATGAAGGTGTAGTTCAGTTAGAATGGGTTTTGGTTTTTTCTTTCCTGGTTTTAATAACAGCTTCACATCATAATTAGGAGGATGAAATTCCTGCCAGACAAGTCTATAGTTTGGACAGATTAAAGGGAAGAGGTATGAGAAATGATAATTGCTTTGTGCTCATCAGACTTCTCTTGAAAATCTGACAGGATAATTACAAAATACCTGCTTTGCAGAATGTCTAGGCAAAATTTTGAAGAGCTATTTAAAGTTGTTCATTTACAGTCTATCTGAAAAGTTTTTTGCTCTTTTTGAAGTAGTTCATTACCATTCAGATGTGTGGTGCATGTTTAAATATAGACCTTATTCCCATGTGCGTGCCTGGCTGCATTCCACTGCCCACCCCCAAAGAAAATTGCCCATAATTTTTTGCATTACCCCCCATACTTCACCCACATACTCACCCTTAACTTTCAGCAGAGCATTATTTCACCTAATGCAAACTAACCTTGTTGCTTCCAACAGTCTGAATCATAGTCATGGATAAAATAATTGTGAGAGAAATGTTCCAGTGGACTATACAAAAAACTTCATTTTGACTGACAGTAAAAGGTTTTTCTACTTTTAGCATGCTTTCATGTTTCATCACATGGCTTTTCTTCACCTGCTTTTGAAACCTGAAAGTGAAATTCACTAAATTGCCAATTTTCAAAGAATATTTTAGGCATAGGTCCCAAAACCCTATGATTTTGCAAGCCCAACTTTCTATTGAAGTTCCCCATAGAGGTCAGTTGGATCACAGAGCCACAGATACCTGCAGAAAGACAATAGAATTGTTCTAGTCACCCCTAAGGTAGGGATAGAGTCATCCAGTGTCATTCTTATATACAGTTGAACAGGGATGACCAATCTCTTAACTACAAGAGCTGGATTTTCACATATGAACATCGTGTAAGCAATATTTCATGACCTGCTGCCTTGTCAGATCACAGAGAACTGCTGGCCATCACATTCAGGGAGTTCAGTGCTCTCCAGAAGTGTCAGCAGTTGCACACCAACTATGTAGTTCATGCATCCACATGGTAGACCCCTGTCTGTTTTATGCTCACCTCTCAGGAAGATGTAATTGCAATTTGCAATAGCTTTCTAAATTCTCATCCTTAAATCTTGGATGCCTTCAGACATGACCAGTGAGTAGCCTGCAGCCAGGCCAGCTGGTTCTGGCAAGCAGGGCAGGCTTTGAGTAAATGCCTCTCCCAGGGTTGCCAGGACTGTTGTGACACCACATGTACACAGCTCTCATGTGACAGGGACACCTGGATTTTGGTTACGTTGGGAAATGTGGTATGCAAGCCCCAGAAAGGATTTTCATGAAAGCGTGAAATGCCTTGCTATAGGTATCTGTAATCAACTGACCAGTGTATTTGCATAATTTCCTAAAGTCATGCTTTGAGTCCGTAGCTGTAACGTTAATTATTGTAATGTTTAAAGCCTACAGTTTGTATTTTTATATAAAGTTAAAAGAATAAATTAAGTGCTGGAGATAGAATTAATTCTTTATCATGTTCCTTGGTAGGTTGAATTACATGTTTCATGAGAAGTCCACGCTTCAGATTGTAAAACAAAGCGGTTTTTTGTACAATTCTGATTTCTGTCTCTTGCTTCTTTTTCTTTGAACAGTTTATGAAGAACCAGAAGACCCCAGTAACAGATCATTTTTTTCAGAAATTATCTCTTCAGTGTCAGATGTCAAATTCAGTCACAGTGGTAGATACATGCTTACAAGAGATTACCTCACTGTCAAGGTTTGGGATCTGAACATGGAAACAAAGCCTGTAGAAACATACCAGGTAGGAATCTCCTAAGTCTTAAAATGCAACCTTATAAAAGGATCTCAGTGTTCAAAAACTGGATGTTTCTGTAAACTTCTCATAACCATATCTGACAAGCAGCAAACTAAGAGAATTAATCAAGGTGATTAAAATCTTCACAGTGGCATCCTTATAGCAGGAAAAGGGCAATAGCAGCATTAGTAAGGAAGTGTAAAGCCTGGGGAGTCGAGGTAGCACTCCCTGTGGATTGAACTCAAAGGAAATGATTATTCTAACAAGAGATACCATCACTTTGGCATCTGCTTTCAAATGATGTATTTCACTACTAACATTTAAAAGGAGCTGAGGAAAAGGTTTTGTGTGTTTCTTAGCGTTCTGCTCCTGGTGGAACTGCTGAGAGTTTACATCTTTGTCATTTCAGAACTATTTTTTACAACTTCCTCTGTGTGTTTCTCCCTTTTGCCTAGTTCTAGAAGTGCTCCATGTTAAACCCTGGCATCACCACTGATACAGCAACTCACAAATGCCAGACACATCTGGTTGCCTGAATTCATTGAGGTATTATCCAGACAAAATGCCAGTGGCTCCAGCCAGCACCAAGTTTGTACTCTGACATCTGTTATGTTTGGCAATAGAGGGCTGAGCTTACATTTTTTGACTCTGGCTTGAAGAAGGAAAATATGTCTGTGACACAGCAACTGCTTGTTAGGAAAATGCAGTAAGAAAAAAACTGTTGAATTACATAAAAAAATGTGTATGCAAAGTAGGAAGAATGCCATTCATCTGGCTTGTGCTGCTCACTGAGAGACAATCCTCTGACAGTGTTGGATCAGTCCCTTGTTTTCTGTGTCTCAGTAATGGCAGGTGGGATACAGCAGTTCACAGTAACTATAATTAAGAGGGGTTTTAAAAAACCACCAAGAGAATATGGTAGCATTTCTTGTCAAAACAAACAAAATTCTCCAGCATTTTTTAGCTAGCATTTAGTAGACAGAATGGGCCCCAGTGTTCTTAAATGCATCCATTACATTTCAGTGGATAGTGTTCACTGCTCTGTGTGTTAATATTGGAAAGTCTGAGCCTGTTTACCTTTAAGACTACAGAATTGGGTTTGCTCTTAAAATGGCAGTGCTTTAAGTGCTGAATGTGTTAGAAATGTTGATATGCTGTGAAAATGGAGTGGGAGGGTAATGGTGAGACTATGTTTTATATAACAAAATAGAATCTCCGATTTTGGTAACTTAGGTAATATATTACTTTATACCTATGCTAATTTAGCAGGCAGCCTTGTGTGGGAGAAATAGTTGGTCAAGCAAACCTGTTTGTCTTGATTTTGACACCTGCTTTTATTTCTTTATGTAAGCAGCTGTGAAACAAGCTGGGCACTTTTAAATCAGTCTGGCACCCAACTAGTAGGGCAAATTAAAAAGTTATATTTCTTCATGCTGAGATGGGGAAAAATGAGTACTGATAAATGCAGTCAGAAGTTTATAGAAAAAAAACCCAAGTCCCACAAGAACAAAACCCCTTATATAATGTAAATAAATATAGCAAAATACAACAGTGTTCTTAAATCTTTGGATTGCCTTTCATTTTCTAATATTTACCTTGTGAAGAATACACAGATGCGTTGCTGGGCATTGTAGCAAACTAAAGGAGAATCTGGAACTAGGGGCCTTGGAAGCCAGTAGCACAGGATTCCATAGGATTTGTGTGATTTAAGATTTAATTTCTCATTTCATCCACTGCATGATAAGCACTTAGGTATTGCCTAGCTGCAATAGTGAGGGTCTCAACAGGAGATGTCACACAGAGTTGTGATAAAGAGCAGAGTCCACAACTGTACTGCTTCAGTATCAGCTTACAATTTTAATATTAAAAACCCAACAAACAAACAAAAAAATAATTCTTCATACAGGTTCTTTTTTTTTGTATCAATGCTGTGGCTTAAAGAATGCTATTGCATAGAGCAGCTGTTGCAGCCCTGCTGAACACGTTATCTGCTGACAATGTTTCAACATGATTTTCTCCTGTTTGTTTCACACAAAACTAAAAAGGGCAGAGTATGGTCACTGAACAGCACTAAAAGAGCAGGGCAGTGGAATGTCCAGTGCTTGAATATTGCAAGGCAGCCCTGCCTAACAGGTTACTGTTCTGATGCTGCCAGGTGAATTACCCCAGCAGAAGCCTTAGGAGCAGCAAGGTGAGCACACTCACAGCTGGTAATAGCTTGATCCACTTTAGGCAGGGTCTGTAGCATAGGGATTTGGACCAGTGTCCAGAACTGGACAAGTGAAATTCCTGGTTGTGTCTGTTCAGTCCCAATAAAACAGGTCCCTGTGTAGCTGTGTTGCTCTGTTAGTCTGGAGCACAGAATTGATAGATGATTCCATGAGGGTCAGACGTAAAAGAAGCAGTGAAGAAAAGGTCCTTGCTAGTTAGTGAGGAATGAATTTGGTTTGCTTTCAAGTACTATTGATACATGATAAGAACAAGATGTAACAGACAAGGCAAATCTGATTTTACCCTCAGTTGGTAGAGGCATGTGAATATGCAAACAGTGAAAATCAAGTGTTTATTCCAGTTAGTTTTTCACAGTCCCTCTGAGGGTCTGAATGTGCTCAAATGTGGTTGTCAGAAGGCCCACATAAAAACAAGGTGGTTGTCCAAGGCATAGGGTGAGTCTGACAGCCTTGACAAGGTAAGACATCTGAGAGAGAAATTGCAAAATCCTTTTTGACAAAGCTGATAGAAAGGCACAGCTCCAAGCTGTGGACTTGGACACATTTTACAAAGGGTGTGTACATGACAGTGGTCATGACAGATGGCTGCTGGAAATGGTAACAAAAAAAAGACCTAGAAATGACATTTAGGGAGACAAATGTGATCTACTTCCTTCTGCCTTGCCCAACCTTTCTATTTCTTCGAAGTATTGGGGGCTCACAAACATGACAAAGGAAAGGATTCCAGTTCTGTAACAAATTACACCACTAACATAAAAAGGTTTTAAGTGAAGAGAAAAGGAAAGTATTTAATTACAGAGTGTAGGAAACTATCAATAGTAAAAGTGTTCTGACCTATTGCTTACTGTGATGATAAATGCATTTAATTGTGGAATGTCCTATCTGCTATTTACCAAGTAATTTCTGTATAAGCACTATCTGTTAATGAACAGTTCATTAAAATTGTTAATTTATTAATGAAAATTGACCCATAACTAAAATTTATTATCCTTAATAATCTTACATTACAAATATTCTTTGGATGCTGTACAATATGACTATCAAAAATGGGTCAGTTTAAAGAAAATCTAAGTGAAAGGTTATTGTCCTTCATCTGGTATTGATAGAAGTTATTTTACTAGAAAAAATGTTTGTGCCCTCAGGCCAGAGTAGGATGCTGAGCATCCATGAGCAGGAACAATTTCACTTGACTTGCAAGAACCTGTAACCTCAGGATGGCAGAGCTAAATTATATCCCTAAACCATTGGATTGGTGTGTTTCTCCAGGAGGTCACCTACACATCTTTGTTTGCACAGTTGCTACAGTAGCTAGAAGAAAATATTAGAGTTGAAGTGCATTAGTAAATTTATCTGGGCAGGGATTTTCTACCTTATTATTTCCTTATGGAAGAAACCAAATCATCCAGAAAAAAACCTAATCATATTAAGCAAGACTGAAACAGTTTGCATCATATCTTTATGATAATCCTTGTTCAGCAGAGATGTGTGTCCTAGAGGAGAGAGATCTTCTGCTGGGTATTCCCACTTTCCTAGTTAGTGAGAATTTGCAATGTTGTTTTTAAATCTCAGCCAAATAGGAGAAATTCTTGGGCTAAATTAGTGTTCTTATTTGCGACCTGTGCAACTGCAACCTTGTGCTGTATTTGGCTTCTAAAATACCTTACAAAAATAAATGTGATACCATAAAGGTTCTTTTAATAGAGCCAAGTTCTTTCTGCCATAAGTGAGAGTCCACTCATCTTGCAATATGGCATTTCTGTTACTATTTAAATTATATTTCTTGCACATTAATTAGCCCATCTAAGGTATCAGGTGGTGAAATGTCTCTGGGAATTGGCTAGCACTGAGAAAATCACCCAAGCAGGAAACAAACATGTTGAAAAGGGGTGGTCAGCAGCCTGCTGAGGAAAGCATGTTTTGTGCCTTCCTGTAACAGTAATTCTGTAGCACCTGGTTAATTGGGCTGTGGAAAAGTACAGTTAGCTTCTTCAAAGTTTAAACACAGTATCTTCTGCAGACCTACCAATCTATGCAGCATATTTTGAAAGTGAACATGGGAGATAACACAGAAAGTGAAGGGCGGATTGTGAAATCTTATGTTTTCTTTGATTTCAAGAATAACAGTTATTTTCTTTGAAACAGGTCCATGATTACCTTAGAAGCAAGTTATGTTCCCTCTATGAAAACGACTGCATCTTTGACAAGTTTGAATGTGCATGGAATGGATCCGACAGGTAATCGATCTGTCCTTCTGTCCATCACTGTCCTCATTTAGCAGAAGACCTCCCATATGATGGGGAGCAAACTGAAAGTAGTTACACGTGGTTATTTTCCATATTTGGGTATGGAATCACACACCAGTGTTTGGGTTGGTACAAGGTGTTTGGGTGTTTGTGCAGAGTGTCTCTGACTGCCATAGACATGATGTATGCCTTAATAACCTTGGCTCGTGCCTTAGGGGAAAAAAATCCTTCAAATTATGTCCATTTTCACCCAACCCATAAGTGGGCTGCAAAAGCTAAGAAGAATGGTGCCAACTCACACAATCCCACCAACACACTAGGGAAACTTACATGATCCTGTATTTGCACATGAGCTGCCTCAGAAATTCAGTTCACTTACTGGAAATGGATGTGAGGAAGAACCATCACAGGCACCCACTGATTCTCTACAAACTCCTGCCAAATGACACTTCTGATACCTCCCTCTGTCAAAGCAGTCTCTTTCCCGGTGCACTGATGGAGAGGTTCTTGTTTTTATCATGGACATAATATCTTGTTGGACATTTTAATGAGAAATACTCAGAGAGTGCAAGCAAGGATGGAGTGGGCTAATGCCCTAATGCTGGCAAATGGTGGCAGTACTTTGTGGAGTAGAAATATGGTACAGGAATAGCTGAGCAGCCAAGAGGACTGGATTAATAAAAATGGATAAAATCCAAGAGTATAATGCAAGGTGAGGATTTTAGTTAAAAAAAGAGCACAAGCCTTCATGTTATCAGTTGGAAACAACTCCCAGGCACATTCATATGCTAGGTGACTTTGGAAGGGATTAGCAATCTACAAAATGTGCATGAAAGAGAGCACAGGAGCCAGTATTGAGTGACACGCAGTGACTCCTGGTTCAGCAGAGTTAGGAGCCAAGAGGCAGAAGTTTGGCAGTGAGCCTAGAAGCGCTCCTTCAGCTCAGCCTCTCATTTGGGAAAACAGTCTGTCTCATTGTATTGAAGCAGGCTTACCCACCCTGGAGTGGGCAAGGACTATGAAACAGGCAGTCTGAGGCATCTGTGAAAGACAAATATGATTCTTGAATGGACAAGACAGGGCTATCCAGCAGAGAAAGGAGTAGTGGTGACATTATGTTGGGCTCTTATTCAAGGACCTTTGAACTGCATTTAGACATTTCCTGTCCCTCGTCTCCAAGGTGGATGAACTCATCGAGCAGATGGGCAGCTGCTCTAAAGAACAGAGGCCAGGACTTTGGTTTTCATCAGCTTAGCAAAAGAGAAACCAAGATTTTACTTGCTTGTAGTAAGTACACCAAGGAGATACACATAGGGATGAAGAGAATCTAGCTCAGATAAATGTGAGTGATAGTGACACAACAGCAAGCAGGTGCTGAGAGTCAACAGATAGTTATTACCTGGAAATTAGGGGTAGTTCATACCTGTCCAAACAGTGACAAACTGTCTTCCCATCCTGAGTGGTGGAGATACAAGAAACCCAGCTGTTCTGATGGTGCTGCTCAGGAAAATTGTGAAAGCAGTTACATGCAACATTGGTTAAAATGACAAGTCTGAACCTGGAAGTGCAGAGCAAAGTGTCTTCTAGTCCTATGTTCCACAAATGCAGATCAAGTGTTATGCTGTGTACACTGGGTAAGGGGGACCTTCTCTTTGGACTACCTTCCTTTGCTCAGTTCCTCTACCTACCCACTGGAAAGATTATACCTTTGCTAAAAAATGAAACTTTAGCCTTGTATCATTCATTATACAAATGAAAATACATACATACTCCATTGTCTCTGTTGCCTGCATGCCAGACTGATGTGTTTTTTCACAAGAATTAACTCAGGATTAAGTATCCCCTGTGATACCAACTGCTGGCCATTTAAAATTACACAGGTGGACCACACTGAGCAAAATACTTCCCAGATTGCTGTCATTGCAACTTGGGCACCAGCTGTTGTGGCTTTGGTATGGTTAAGGATTGGGAATGACTCACAGAATGTTTAGCAGAAGATCCAGGTTTTGGGGCTTTTCTCTGAAACTCCCAATCCAGTGCATGAATGGTTGTTCTAACAGAGGGTTTTCTCAGTGTGGTTATGGCTTAAGTTTGGCCCTACTAGAAATACAAAAGTTAAATCCTTTATTGAAAAACAGACAATGCTGATTCCTGCCTAAGTCTGGCACAGAACAACAGTGCATTCAAATCATGTAGATATTGGGAAACTTTGAAAAAGATCCAGGACTTTTCAGGTATTTTCAAACCATTTTGCTTATCCTTGATGGGAATTCCTAGAGTGTTTTACAGGATGGGCAGCCACTTACTTCCAGGCCTAGAGTCTCTCTCCTCTGGCCAGATGAAATGCTGCTGTTCTCATTAGTGTGGTAAGACCACTCTCTGGATAGTTGCCTGGTAGTAATGGAATTCTTGTTCAATATCAGGGTTTAAAGTGAGTGTAATATTTTCATTCCTACTTGACAGATCAGAAAGATCAATGCAGGGAGTAATTATTAAGTGGGAACATTAGATTGTGAGGGCTTCATTTATTGTACTGCCCAGACACTGAGGCATTATTAGTCATGCACAATTACCAAACCCGTCACTAAACAATGTGCTGCTCTTGGTTGTAAGAAACTTGAGTAGAGGAGCTGGAAACATTTGACAAAAGAAAAGGGCTCTCTTTAATTTAATTATTTCTTTTTAGGAGTCAAATGTATCAGAACTGATGCTCATCTTTTGATTCACTCCTCTAAACTCCTTGCTTTATGAATATGACAAGTATTGCTATGCATTACCAGAATATTTTTTTATTGGAGAGTCATAATTTAAATAATATTTAGGTTCTGGTACCTCTTAAGAAACAGTCCACTGGAACAGTAAGGTCACTTAATTTGAGTCTTTTGGGATGTAGTTTTTAAAAAAGGACTATTACTAAAGATAAAAATTGCATATTGACAATTGTACTCCAAAGAGATGCTGCAGTACTTAGATTATTAATCCATCTGCATAACAGTAATAACTACTGTTCTAAAGGTATTGTTTTTATCTTTTGCAGACTTCAAAGCTATAACAACAATATGTAGTGACAGGATTGTTCTGTTAAAAATGAAAGTGTTTTTATTATTTAGGTGAAAATACTTTTTATTAAGATTTGTCATTACTAAGGAGTTAATCTAGGCTATGATAGAGCCTGATGGTGAGGCTGTTTGCAGAAATAATCAGCATACGTGAGCTCTGATTAGAACGTGATTGATGCTCAGTTACTCCAATGAACAGGAACTAATACAATCAGACAGAGCTGATCTCATTTGCTGGAGAGCACATTAATCACTAGGTACTTTGGCAATGGTGGTCAGGGGAGGGAGCCAAGCAGGGGTCTTACACTTATTCATCCAGATGAGCACATATTATCTGTAGTTCAGTGTATTACACAAAAATCATGCTATCTTTAGTGTATATACATCATTACTTGACCATGTAGAATAGGTGAGCTCTACTTATATGGCAATTTAATTTAGCTCTTCCATTCACATCCAAAGTCAAGTCATTTAATAAATGACCTGGAGGACACTGTTTTCTTTCCACTGTCAACAGCTTTCAAAAAAAATAAGCACTTTTGTAGCTTTTTGTGAGGTAAAGAAGCCAGAAAAAAAACCCAAACAAAACCTAATTCTACATGATAGAAAGTGAATACCTTAGTTAACTATTTATTTTTCTTTAAGATTTCAAATGAATGGGTAGGTGGGACCCCTGCCAGGAAGACTTTAAATACCATCATGATAAGTGATATGCTGCAAGCAGATGAGTGAAGTCACATACAACTGTTCAGTCAGTCCTTTCCTACTGAACTGTCATTCATCCCCCCGAATATCCAACAGCCTTCACTCTAATCAGGAGGAATTGGCAGATCCCATTGGATGAGAAGTTAAGAGTCTCTTCCTGTCTGGCAGCACACTCCATGCTGGAGAGCTAAAAGACATCATTTTGTTCTCAAAGCTTGGCATGTCAAATATTAGCTTGGAAGTACTTGGGGATCCCTTGTTCTTATTCCCTGTCTTAGGTCAGCCAGCTGTACCAGGGTACCACAACCCTGAATCCTGTGTCTCATTTTTCTAACAGCCTCTTCCCCAGATTTAAATAAATTCCTTCTTTGTGATGGGGAGTCAGTGACTTTGCACAGCACAGGAAGATTTCCTAGTATTTCATGAGCTCCTCATTGCTTGCACAATGCTTCTTCCTTTGCCTTTGCTATAATAAATCTCCCTTTTTATTCCTGTGAAAAATGTTTTTTAAGAGTTTTTCTGGAATCACTCCTTTCTTTCATTGGGCTAGCTTGTCGTGAAACCAGATCTGGTGGACATTACAGGTTAATCCCAGGAGGCTGCAGATGTTCTCTGGTACCCATGGCAGTGAAATACTGAAAAAAGGGGTTATTTATACTTATATTACAAAATATAACTGGGAGACTGGGAAACTGAGTTTCAGATCAAAGAAAATCCCTTTTCATGCTGGATGCCTGAGGGATGTCTTTGCTGAGATCTGAGAAGTCCAAGCCCTGCCTCTTGCCCCAGGGAATGAAGTTCTGCTGCCGCATCTGCACCGAGGGGCAGCACAGCTGGGCTGCTTCAGTTTTTCTATCACACTTCAGCAGGGTGTGTGCAGGGTCCTTGAAGCCCTGCCCAGCCCCTCTCTTAGTCCTGTCACACCATCCTTCCATGGTCTCCTGAGCAACCGTGAAAGACAGGAACACTGAAACGAGATGAATTTCTCCAGACAGTAGAAATCTGCAGGTGAATGAAAACTTCTCTGCATCTGGGAAGACTAATTTGGGCCAGTTAGTGCAAAAAATATCAAAGAGTTAAGAAATCCCACAAAACCAAAAAGCCCTAAACAAAAAAAAACAACACAAAGCAATGTGGAACATTGGTTTGGTTTTTAAGCAGGCCTTAATTCTAGCTAATACCCCAAATTTTCAGGGCAATCCCTGACATCCAGGAATGCAGCTGAATGGAGCAATTTTGATGAAGGCTGTTGTGTACAAGGATAGCTTCAACATGGATAAAATTTAAGAGGTTGGCTTGAAGTAGGGGAGTAACAAAACTGAGAAATACAGAGCCAATTCTTAGTGACTGAGATGTTTGATGAAATCTCATTGCCTAAAAAATATTGTGGAATATCTCATTGGAGGTTAGTAAAATGGTGAAAATCCTATTCAGATGCCTTTGAAGATGGTGAAGTAGAGAATTTGTTGACCACCCAATGATGAAGTGCAGAAGGTGAAATGTAGGTGCTGGTAGTCATGCTGCACCCTTGGGGGATTTCCCTGCTTTTTTGTCTGATTTGGGGGGATTGTTTGGGGGGAGGTGGGGTGTGATGTTGTTTTATTTGGGGTTTTTTTGTAATGGTGCTGCTTGTAGCCGAGGTGTAGAGCTGGTGCAGTCAGGCTGCAGCTTTGCTCCTCAAGGTGCACTGGAGCCTGTTCTGTGTCCTAAAAACCTCTGCATGGTGGAGATGATGGCACCTCTGGCCTTGTGCACGACTTATAAACCTGCCTTCTAAGGAAAATTCAAAGTGGTTAGACAGCTTTTCTAGGCTGCTGCCTTACACATCTGTGAAATAGTGTGGGCTGTTTCAAATGAAGGGCTTTGGTTTCTTGAACCAGCCTCTCCTGCAAGGGTTTTGTGCAAGTCCTCATCGTAACACTGCTGTGCAGAGCAGTGTCTGGGAATACAGAACAGACTCTTCCTACACTTAGCTACAATTTATATTCTACTATTTAAAAAAATATCTCCTTATCACATAGACTCCATTATTGTACATTGTATTTTCCTGAACAAGAAAAAATTGCAGGCTTGCATCTAGTTTTCACTCTCTTTTATTACTTTAAGCAGCAGGTAAGGTTATAATCCATCTGTGTTTGTGACCTTGAGCAAGAATGGGCACTTTCTCATTTACATAATGCTGTTTTTTACTGAGCCATTAAACTGCAGAAAAATAGGGCCAGCATGAAAAGCAGTCATCTACATATGTTAAAAAAATAACTGCAGTAAATCCAACTGAAGAAAGCAGACTTTTAAAAGTATGCAAGACTTCAAGAAATTAAAAAGCAAATGGACTGTAAAGGCAGCTTTACTGTAAGCAAAACCTTCTAAAATAAGACCCTTAACAAACACCTCTCTCTGCATTTGGTGCACTGGTACTCTGCCAGCATGAGAAGTGCTTCTCTGGCAGCTCCTGCTGCCATCAGGAGGGATGCTCCTCTCTCCCCTGGGAGCCACAGCTCTACAGCCTGTGGCACAGGGGTGCCCCAGTGTTATGAACCTGTTTCAAAACTTTGCCTGGGGGAAAATATACAGATGGACTGTTTGCATCACAAATTGTGTATGTTAGTGCTGAGATATGAAATAGCCTCTACTTTTTCATGTTGCAAATAAACATTACAGCAGGAGCTATAATGACAAGACATGGTGATTTGGAAGGAATGAAACACTTGATTTACTGCTGTTGATTCAATTCCTGAAATGGGCACTAATCTTGATCAATAGGCTTTCTGCAGCTTCTGGGATACATTTTATCAAGCTGTCACGGTGACTCCTGTTTTTTAGCCTGTGATGTTGTTAACTTGTGCCTTGCTCGGCAGGATTGCGCCAGGCCTTTTGCGGGTGCGGAAGGGAAGGGAATCCTCTCCATCAGGGGTGGGTCCCGCTGCCGGAGAGCAGCGAGGAGCTCCCTGCCGGGGCTGGATGGGGACAAGCGGGGACAAATGGGGACAAATGTCCCTGTGCATCCCCCAGCAGCGAGCGCCCTGCAGAGCCCCGGGAGCAGCCCCTCCCCATGAGGTGAAGGCTGCAGGTGAGCTCTGGCCGAGGGTGCTGGCTGTGTGCTGTGCAGCACTGTGAGCTCTGTGCAGGGCTCAGTGCGGGATCTGCTGCGGTATGGCCCCAGCAGACACGGGAGCAGCGTGGAGCTGGGTGATTCCCAGCGTGCAAACCCACTCCAGTTACCCTGCAGCGGCTCTGGAGCCTGCCCTGCTCCCTCCCCAGCTGTAGTCGCAGCAATGAGGGGCACAGCTCACATTTGTGCTTTTCCAGTGATCATCCATTTGTATTACAGTCACTCCTAATGGCCCCAGATGAGATCAAGCGGCTCTGGCTGGAGGCTGGGCACACACTGCAAGGCACTTGTGAGTCCAGGAGCATCTAATCTAATCTAATCTAATCAGCTAGAGAATGTCTGTGGTGCAGAGTAAGGCTCGTGCCTGTGAGTTCTCCCAGATTCTCCCATATGCTCCATGTTTCCCTGGCCATCTACTGCTCAGCAGAGATGTCCCCCAACAGCAAAGTGTGAAAGCAGCTGTCATTTGAGATGGAGGTGTGTTTATTAATGCCACACACGTCAAATATCTTCTTTTGGGCTCTATTAGAAAGGCAAATAGTTAATGATTGCCTGAGTCTTAAAACTGTACAGCTTTTCCTGTTGAGATCTGACCATTTGGGGTGGATACCCTCTTACAAAATGGAAATTCAGAACAAAACCACCCTGTTTGAGGCTGAGATAGGAGAGTAGAGAACGGCCCTGGTTTCACATATGGAAAAAGTTCACAGGGGATGAGCTTTCAAACAAGGCTCTGAAACCCATGATTATGCTAATCCAATAACCTGAGGGCCATGGATGAAATCCTGAATTCATTAAAGTTAGTGACAAAATATCCTCCCCTAGGGACTAGAGGAATGAAGCAACTGGCAATCTATTATTTCAAACTGCAAGCTGATTAATGAGGTAATTTTTATACAGATCGAGGTGTGTTTTCTATCCCTTTCTCCCAGACCCAGAAATATATCCTGACTTGATGTTTCATTCAAACTTCATATAATAAATGCCAGAATCCTGACACCAGTGTGTTTCTAAGAAGCATTATAGATATATATTTTAATGATGTCTGGACTTGCAAGATCTGTGTATTCAGCAGGGAAAAGAGTTACATCTGGAAAGAATTTACATGTGAAAATTCAGTGTGATTTTTCAGAACCTTTCGAAACACCCTTCTTCAAAATACTCTTTAAAATATATAATCATGTACTAAACGTTGCTGTTGTATCAAAAAATTTGAAATATGTGGGAAATTTTTAGACTATTTCTGGAATCATGGTAAAACTCAGCTGTCATTAAAGGTAAAGTTCCAGAGAACGGGAAGAAGCATGAAATGTATGATCCTTAAGCGCTCATAAAAAGCTGGAGGGTAATTAAAAATAATTTATTAAAGCATGTTACTTTTATTATCTTGTGATGTGATTCTCGTGATGTCAGGGAGCAGACATTATTTGAGGTAACTGTAATTTTCATTGAATAATAAGGGAGGGGAAGGCATTGGTAGAAGGAAATTGTTCATTCTGGGGAGACCTGGGAAAACCCTTTTTTTTCCCTTACTGTTTCCCATCTGATACCAGAAGACAGCTAACCCTAGGGTCAAACTCGGCTGTCCTGATCCAGCCATGTTGGTAGGCTTTGCACAAGCTGCTGTTTAACTGCCTTTGTTGTCGCTCTCTCTCTGTCTCTCTGCAGTGTGATAATGACAGGTGCATATAACAACTTTTTTCGAATGTTTGACCGCAACACCAAGCGGGATGTCACCTTGGAGGCTTCCCGCGAGAGCAGTAAACCACGAGCCATTCTTAAGCCCCGGAGAGTCTGCGTTGGAGGCAAACGGAGGAAAGATGACATCAGTGTTGACAGTTTGGACTTTACTAAGAAGATCTTGCACACAGCATGGCACCCAACCGAGAACATCATTGCTATAGCAGCGACAAACAATCTGTACATATTTCAGGATAAAGTGAACTCAGAAATGCACTAGATTTATCAATATCCCTCTATATTTACAAACCAGCCTCTTGACAGTTGTAGAAGGATGTGATCTTCACAAAAATTGTGGCTTCTGTGGTGGGATTTGTAGGTTGCATCCTTTCATCCCTCAGCCTGTATCATTATTGGTGGCAAGCCAATTATTTTCCATCACTGCAACTGTATGAGTAAAAGGCACGAGTGCAAATCCAGTACTGTGGTCTGTATCGGTTCCTTTAAACAAACAGGGGTATTTATTCAGTTTAGGAATGTTCCTGAGGAGGACTGAGGCTCCTTAACTCCTGTCCATCCTTTCAAGGGTCTCAGTGGTTTGCAGGACTGTGGTGTTCTGGTGCCCTTCCTGCTTTTGCAGTGCACAGCATTTACCACATTGTTAGAGCTTTTTGCTTCAATCTCTTGACTGGATTTTTTCCAGTGCTGTTTTCCTGTCTTTCAATTAAGCCGAGCCTGTTTAAAAGAATGAATAGCCACATCCCTTTAGAGCCTGTGGCACATTGGAGGGACCTCATTACAGTTAGAGCTGGAAGCAGAATCCCTGTTGGTGAAAAGCTGCCCCATCTCACCCATCCCATTCCCTTCTTTACAATACCCTCTTATTTATTTATTTATTTATTTATCAGCCAGCTTTTTAAAGAAGTTTATTCTTCATGGTTCTCTTCGCTCTGTTTAAAAAGAGTAAGTAGTATCTTCATTGTGTGACGACTATTAAAAAACTTGGCATTGCAACTCTGCAGGGACTGGCTGGTCAGACACAGACAACAAACTTACATCCCTGCTAGACACTTGATAAAGTCCCTTGTTTGTTGTTTGCAGAATGGTTATGTTAATCCTGGCCTTTGGGGAGTACAGGCGATGCCTGGTATCTGTAACTGTGAAAAGAATGGCACTGTGAGAGGCAGCATCGCTCAGTGAATTTTAACGCTTTTAAACCAGGCCACTTCTGGGAGACAAAGTTAGTCCTGGAGAAACATGAAAATTTGAAAAATCCAAACCTAACAAAACCTTCCTCCACAGAAATGTTGTTAGACCTAATCTCTGTTTTGTAATGATGAGTGACATAAATGGAAAGTACACACAAAGTAGGGCATGCAGGAATGGTACAGGAATGGTGCAGTGGGCAGGAAGTCCTCTTAATGCAGGGAAAGTTCTACTGCACCCTTAATAGCTCTGGCAGAAAATTCAGTATCCCAAAGGATTCTTACTCTGACCATGAATAAAAGAGCACAACTCACATGACCTGTTAATCTGCCCATATTAACACTCCTCAGAAAAAAAAAAGTCTTTAAGCCATTATGCACTGATTTCTTGGTAAGTGGAGAATGTACTGATGAAGGGATCTGCATGCTTTTGTATTTTGGTTTGGGGGAAGGGTGGGTGAAAATCTGCTTACAAGAAATAAAAAAAAAAAAAGTCTAGAGCTTTTATATGACATCTCAACACCACACCTGAAATCTGTCTGTTTGAAATTTTCTAGATCAATGCTGTATATTTTGTGTGTAGAAGTGCAAACACGTGCACCAGTTTCCAACCACACTAAACACATATGGTATGAAATGTGTAGGGTGATTTTAAAGGGAACAAAGAATGTTTGTTTATAAAATACTGTGTGCTGTAGCAGGCATGGACAGTATATGTACATATTTATTCTAACGAAATTTAACAAAATTGCCTTTTCCTTTTCTTCTTCCTTGTAAAAAAGGTTTAAGAGTGTGGTAAATTGTATAGAGAACTTGTTAATGCCAAACTATTGCTTCAAGGGTGTCATACAATTTCTTTGACTTTTGGCCTCCTCCATTAATCTCTGCAGCTCAAAATGAAAAAAAAAAAAAAAAAGCTATCAGTCCATATTGGCATTTACAGCTAGAGATACTGTAAAACATATATTTAGCTTTTAACATTCTCAAGATTCTATAGATAACTTATTATAAAACAGATCTTAAATACAACCATTTTTTGTTTTTAATTTGAAGTACCTTACTCTGTCACAGCTTTGGGTACCAAAAAGAACATGTTAAAATTAAATAAACAAATATATCTTTGGAGCTTTATAAAACAAATTAAATACCCAACCAAAATACCATGAAGTAAATATAGAGAAAATAAATAGAAGCCTTTCAAAGACCAGTATTCCGTTCCTGTCTTTGACACCACTGTTACAGATCGGTTTCCTGGTTTCTTGAATGTATGGAAAGTTAACATCATCATTGTAAACATTTCCAACTTTTTTTCTCTTTTTAGTTTGAGCTTTCAGTGGTGTAGAGTAAGTGATGGTAAAGTTGGTAAATCTGATTGTTTTGAAAGCTGTTGTTCATGGCTGCATTTTTTGTGTTGCACAAATTAGCTAACTGTTGTTGAATAAAAATATAAATATGTTAATACCAGCTTTTTCAATAAAACTACAACCAAAAAAAGGCATAAATAGATGACTTCAAGGCATAGCTTATTTTTAAGCTAGGCAAGAAAGAGTTGTTTAGCTCCTTTTGCAGAGGAGGAAGAGTCACAGAGATCAGGACTCAGAGGGCAAGCTACTGTGGGAACCTCAAGTGTCGTGGCAGGTGGAGGAGGGAGCACATGCCATGAGTGGGATTAGGGAGTTGTGTGATGAAGAGTGAGGGCAGCTTTAGCAGAGATGGAGACATGCTTTAGGTTCAGTGCTGGGACCAGCTTTTTCTTTTGCTCATAGCCCAGCCTGGACTTCAGGAGGCTTGAGTCTCCATCTCCTGTAGATGGAATCAGAGCTGTGCAGTGTGAATTGACGCACAAAGTCACACGTAAAAAAAAATTGCATTGGTGTTGTCACTGAAATTGCAGGAAAAACAACTGCCCTCTAACATTTTTAGTGTTAGAGAATCAAGGCATTACTTTATTTCTGGCCAGGGTGTTGTTCTGGCCAGGATGTGCAACAGAAAACATTTCATTCACACTTATCCCAGGTGTGCAGAGAAAATAATTTCATGACACATGAATTTTACCTGATTTTTTGAATACTTTATATAGTTAAGACCCTAGAGATTCATTGGTTCAATGTTCACTGGCTCCACGTTACACAGTTCTTAGTGTTTGGTTTTCTACTGGATCTGGATTTCTTCGCCTCTGATGTTAAAAATGTTAATTAGGTTCTCACTCCCTGATTTCCTTATCAGTCTTTTCTGGAGCAGGTCTCTAACCATGCCAGGGGGCAGTCCCTGAGGTAGACGTTTGTTGATGTTTGCTGATGGCTGTTGATGTTCTGCTGATAGTCATTATATTTTTGGGTATCTTTTGGGCTACTCCCAGTCTGTTGAGATGTTAACCTCATCAGGCCTTCACCTGGTAGAACAATGCCCTGGAAACTCTAATTTCTAATTCCTGGAAATTCTAATTTCCTCCAGGGCAAAAGCAAACATAGATTGGACTTGATGATATCAAAGGTCTTCTCCAACCTAGTTCCTTCTGTGATTCTGTGAAAACTGGCTAAAGTTATAAAATAAAATAAATTTTAAACTTGGTATATTTTCCAACAGTGTCATCACTGGTCAGGTTTGAGACCTTCCAACCATGGGAGCATGTCAGGGATGTGGCCAGGTTGGCCTCCCAAATGACACAGGTGCTGGCCCAGGTGACAAACCAGAGGGCTACCAGCAGAGCAGCATCCTGCTTTCTCCCACTACTCAATCTCTACCACAGGGAAAAATAACAACAACAACAAAAAAGGCTGGTTTGGCGCACACACTTAGGGTAGGAAACCATTCTCTTTCCAGTCCTGCTGATGCCTGACTCTCTGTGGTGATCATGATGCTTGCCCCAGATCTGGGGCAGCTCTCTGGAATCTTGGATCAAGGCAGCTGATCCTGCTTGTGCAGGGGTGAGAAGCCTCCCACCATCTTTACACACGAGTTAGACTCTGAGAGGCTGAGGGCTTTTTCTGGATGCAGACCAGAATAAGTTTGCCTCAGCTGTTACATGAGGCAGTGTGGCTTTGCACAGCTTTCCCAGAGCTTATATGCCAATTTTTTTCACCCGTTTTTGGGAAGACACAGTCAATCCCACTCATTTAGATGGACAAATATGACTAGGCACTGAAGAGAGAAATCTCAGCTGAAAATCAACACATCAAGCAATACACTATTTACCTTTCCAGTTTCCCTTTTCATTCCCAAATACCCAGTAGGAGCAGGAGCCAGATGGCTCACTCACATGCTTTTGAAATTTTCACACGCATATTTAGTAGCTACATACGGCACTGTAACCCTTTGTGGCTTGGGGAGATACTGGTGTGAGCCACCTGCTTCTGCTGTTCACAGCCAGCATGTTGTGCTGCTTTGAGTCTTTTGGTGCCTTTGGTTGGAGCCCTTGGTTGCCCCTGGTTGAGAGGGCAAGTAGAAGGATTGTTTGCCTTTATATCCAATTTTCAGTAACATTAATATCAATTTACTCCCGCTCCCAATAGGAATTATTTTTCATTTTAGTCAGCAAATTGTATTGAGTCTAAAATCAGAGCATAAAGTCACTTACCTTGCTCATGTAGTAGAACCAGGATTACTGGAATGGGCCCAATTTTATAGGGATTTGGTATGTTTCTTAGGTCTTGTGAAACCATTAAATGGTCTGGAAGTTCTGTACAGGCCAGCTCTGAAATGGTTTGCTCTCAGGGTGTATCATGAAAAAGCATTTCTTAGCAGTGAAATTGTATTTTCCTTCTCTCAGGTTGGATGAGGATCAAACTTTTACTCATGTGAAAGTGAGCACACCTCTTCAGGCAGTTGGAGATACTAAATCTGGCCCATGATACAAAGCAATTTATGGAGCACTTGACTGCATAAACTCTGTTCCCTCAGCTCTGAAAGCTGCCATGATCATGGATCAGCCAGGCAGGGTACAGCTAATTATTTGTGCCATTTGCCAATTGAGGCAGTCAGTGAGTAGGACAAGATCCTTAAACCAACAATTCCATTAAGCAGTTATTTCAGGTACCATGACAATGCTATACATTATTTTTATAACACAGCTGCTTAAACTAATAAACCCTGCAGCAGTGACTTGATTAAAGTATGCAGGGTGGTTTCCTGGACAGCCAGTCCTTGTTTTAAAACTAGTATTTAATCATACTACTAACATTCATGTCACATGCAATAGCCTGATCCAAGCAGATCAACTTTAAATACAGTACCAAATTCTTCAGATGGTATGTGAATATGGCATTATGACTGTG